TTGTGCTATCACCTCTGTCCTTTTCAAGGGAAAGGGGAAATCCCATGCAGCCAAATATCAACAACGAACAGCCTCAAGTGGAAGGTGGGACCTCCCCAAAAATATTGCTGAAATTCCTCGATTGCGTTATTAAAAAGGGAGGGAAAAAGATGAAAACTGACCACATCAAACCTCCTTGAATGAAATAAGAATGCCCAACAGAACTCTCCAGCAGTCATAGACTGATTGACTTTTACTATTATCTGGGAAAGCAATTCTTATAATCTTAAATATTCAGGCATGATGAACCACTGGTGCCTGTCCACCAAAAAGGTGTCCTGCCCTTTAGTGAAGATGAGACCCAGTACAAGCTCTTGGGTAGCTCAATTACTGTTCCTCAAGTCTCTAGCTGCTTTGCTGCTTCATTGGCATAGAGTGGTTGCATAATTTGGTGTGAAGGTTTTGGACAAGTGCAAGAGATTTTTGTCAATAAAATCAGACTCTGGACTGTGAATGTTTTTCTGGGTTCCAACCTGCCACTTAGTTCTTGATCCTAAGGAAGAAAATCTTAGCACATGGGCAGTATTTTAGCGTATGGCAGGAGTTTGTAGGAAGTATGCACATAAGTAGGAATATGTGGTTGAAATAAAGTTTTTCACCATACACATTACAATTACACATGGTTTCACTATAAATATGTATGTATTTTCTATTATTAACTTTCATGGATTTTAATGGAAAAGTAATATTTAGAAATTGAACTGTATGTGATCAACCTTCAGATCTCTGCTTAGCCATGATATTCTCTTTCTGACTGAATTTCTGTACAGAATTTTTGTGATTTTAAAATGCATGGCTTTTTTCCTTGGACAAAGGGAAAATGCAGTGCAATAAATGAAGAACTGCTATACTTACACACTTGCATACATACTGATAAAGATGTTTCTTCCCATGTATATATTCGGTTATATGTCAAGCAGCACTAAGATCAGATGGCTTTAAATCAGTATTGACATTAAAGTCTCTGTGAAATATGTCAACATCAAACTATGGATGCTGATTCCGAGGGCAAAGAGCCAAATCCACCCTTTCTGAAATTCCAATCCATTCCCCTGCCTTTGACTATAATAATTTGGTGATTTCCCAGTTTTGCACAGTTCCACCCCTGACTCCCACACACACATTCTAAAAGGCTGAAATGTCTCTGCACAGGTTTAACTCCGTAGTAAAAAACTTTAAGCTAAAATAAGCCAGAATTTGCCCCAACCATTTTGCCACTGGTCCTGCCCACCACAGAAGTTTGGTTCTCAAGAGCTGCGCTAACACAGAATTCAGCTATTGGGCTGAAAGAGTATCAACACTGCTTATGTAGACCAGTGACTCGCACAGGATCCCATTCAAAACAGTCACTAGGTAGCAGCTTTTTACTGAAATGCATCTAAGCCTCCTTCTAAAATCTAAGAATGTTTTGTGCCAGTTTGGCATTTTGAAAATTGCATCTTCTCACAACAAGATTAATTAGCAGGGCTAGTGTCATCCAGAGATGCCATGGTATAGCAGGACATTGAATTGTCTCTCTTGTTCTGTAGCCCACTTGGTGCATCTCTTATGGGTTGATTGGAAAGAGGATTTCCTGTTTTATAAGGAAATGTTGATCATTTGCTTACGGAAAGGAAAAGACAAACTGTCCTTGCCAGAAACTCAAACTCAGTCATGTCTCAGTGATCAAGAAATGCCACCATGCCAGGCTTAGCAACACATTGCCTGCTGGCCTGTGAGGATTAATTAAATTACAAGAAGACATTTTAATGGATGGACTTCCGAGGCTGTTGCCTTGGCAACAGTTTTAAACAGCTGGTTTAATGATGGGTGGAGAAGGGATTGTTGGGAGAGCTAGGCTTGAGGACATAGCAGTCTGCTTTTGTACAAGTGGCAAACTGAGGAGAGATGTTTGGAGCATTTGGAATGAACACAGTTTTGCCCTGTGTGTTATGAGCCATGAAGCATGCATTCTCCTTTGGATCTGAGGCAGAGGTGTGTAACTTGTGGTCCAGAAAGGAACTCTCTAATGAACACAAACATTTCTTAAATGTTTAAAATATGCATGGCCATTTTGGCAAAAGAACCTGTTAATGCTCCAGTTCTCCTCTGCCTTGTCCGTTTCTCTACTTTCTTTCTGAGAATTCAGCATTCACTAAAACAGCCTTTTCGAACTTCAGCCCTAGCGTAATAATCAGAATTTGAGTCACTGAGCAGCAAGATGGTACACTGAGCGACAGGCAGGCTTGGAGTTGCAGCAGATGGCTCCTTTGTGTTGAGCTCTCCTCCCCACATAGCACAGCCACCATCCCATCCTCTTAGCATGGCAGCACATGCATGTACTTTGAAGCAACCCTTCATGCACAGCAGTCTTCCTGGCCAGCAAGTAACAGAATCCCTGTCAGCGAGTGCCATGGGGCCATCAGGCCACTTCATGGATCTGCTGGTTCCTGTGGCTGGTCTAATCTCCCTGCCTGAGAGTTGCCAATGTTTACAGCCTGTTGTTATACAGACACCATGTTGCAATCAAATGGCTACTCAAATATGCAAATCCTTGTAGGAAAAATACAATGTAAACTGTTTGTTTATCCCTCCCCCTTTCTTCCCCAAGGCTATCAATTATTAACTTTTGGAAAGAAACTGGGATCTGCTCACTCAATTGCCTTCCCCCTGCATACAGTGGGGTCTGCTCGAAACTGAGTGGTATTTCCTGCAGGAGGAGGAATTTGCATAATCAAGCCTCAGCTGTCACCAGTGCCAACAGGCCAAGGGGCCTTCCTACAGTACTAGCCAAATACTCACCTTATTTGCATATCTGCTGAGAGCAATGCTAGAATGAGCAAATTTTAGGAGGTGATGGTACTCCCAAATCAGATGGAAGTTGCTTTTTTGTGTTCTATCAATCTAAATCAGGTATTTCACTCTAGTATTTGAAGCAGAAAAAAAGAAATGGCATTCTTCATGATAGTATAAATATCATAATAAGCTAAATTGTTTCTAAGTTTTAATTGTAACTTGCCTAATTGGCCAAAAGAGAGTAAATAAAAAGTAAATGATGGTTTGCTGTCTGTAGTTTCATCCAAAAAGCTACTGTGCAAGCTGACAGCTTCACAAATATTGGTGTCAACCTTGGCCTTAATTCTGATGGTCTGGATCTCATTTTAATTTAAGACAAAGACCCAGTTCTTGCTAGATGAATAAATCTGTCTCAGAGCTTTATAATGTCAAACTAAAAGATGCAATGTTCACATGCTCCTTCATTAAAAAGTATCTTCTGCATAGAACGGCCACTGTTAGGGGGAAAGCTAAACTAGCACCATCCTCTCCCACTGCACTTCTCCATGATGAGGGATTAAAAGAAAAAGAAAAACAGGTCAGCATTCAATCATGTGACTTCCCATCCTGTAGCCTGAAGTTATTAGGACTGACATGTGTCCTTTATTACAGTCTTTATTACAGCCCTCTTTTATTTGAGGTACCATCCAGTTCAAGTTTAGTTTACAAATAAAGGAGCATAAAAAGGCAGAGTCACAGTCTGTATGTTGCTCATTAAAAGTTAGCACTTGGACAGCAGGACTGAGCAGGCACATGGTTTACTTCCTTGTAGCCTTCACCCTGGCAGGATGTAATTCAATGTATAGTAAGACTTATGGAATTGTATTTATAATGCAAATTAGCACATGCAAATTATATGCAAAGTTTTTCAGTGATGCATTTCCTTTCTTTTGATGATGTATGTAGCCATCCTGGAAATACCTCTATACCAGACACAAATTCCTCTTTTCAATGGGAACCAGACCTTTATCTCATCAAAACAATGTAATGTTGGTTTCTACCAGTTGTTTTTAAAAGTACTTGTAGTGTCAACACAAGTTACATGAATATACGTAATTGCTAGCTCATGTGTTAAGGACTTGTGACAGTCACACACTGTGTATAAGTGGTTTGCACCCTTATAAAAAGTCTTTTAATGTTTTGATACTAACATTTAGACTGCTTGAGTCACTGGGATACTTTTGAAAGCACAGACCACTATCTTGTAAGGTAACAGGCATGGAGCCTTGTTGATGCATAGGGTTTTCTTTCTTGCTCTCGTTAGAATGTGAAACAAGCAAATGTTACTGTATATTTTTTAACTTTCAAAATTATTTACCTTTGCACTGTATGAAAGTGCAAAGAAATAATGAAAGAAATGTGAAAATTCTGGGAATCATTGTTTAGAACCAGGGAATGTAAAATGATGGGGGGCAAGAGTGGATTAAAAAGTGGGGGCGTCCTCTTCCCATTTTCCTCTAAAGCCTAGACATTGTCAATTTTCCATCTTCTGTTATAAGAGACTAAGGGATTAAGGGTGTCTTCACAAATGATGAGAATATCAAACTATGCATGCAGTTCAGAAAATGGTTCTGTTCTACTTTCTACCAACACTGAGAAGTGGCTTATAAGCTTTTTCACTTGATCCAGTTGCACAAAAAATGTGTTTAAATGTGGGAAGGAGATGATTTACTGGCCTTTGCTTCAACCATCACATATTCATTGGCTGTTTTAGCACAGAGCAGACGCACTTAGATACAAGTTTGATTTAATCATAATCATTACTCATAAAAGTAATGGTTCCAATCATGCAGACACCCTAACCAAGTGGAAAAACAGATATATGTTTAAGCCATGTGAACACAAAGTCAATGAACATACAGACAGTGGGCCTAACCCTGCTCTTTTCTCAATGTCATCAGTCTTATCTCCTTTTTGACCTTATGAAAAGGGCTTCATGAAGACTAAAAGACAATCAAAATGTCTCTTGTGAAATTCCCCCAACCCTATAATTTTTCACAGCACCCTTACATACCATCCTGACATGTTGGGTATCAATCTGGAATTGGCTTTAGTTTCCATTGTACAGCCACCTAGTTACCATCTGAGTGATTTTCCTTCATATTTAATGGCAGTGATTTGACCTATAGGTTATCTATCTATTCCAGATCCGAGCAGATGGGCCTCCTCACGGTGGTATTCAGTATGAAATGGTGCCAGTTTTCAAGGATGGGCGTCCTATCCTTCGTGACATGGCCTTCTCCACAGATCATAATTACCTCTATGTCATGTCAGAAAAACAGGTAAGCCTTGCTCTTCCACTCCACAGTAGCCTTTATGTGAGCTATGTTTTCCAGTGAGAAAGCACTACATATTCAAACTCATCTTTTTTCTTAGCATTTATTTCTAGTATGGATGGTGCCAATGGAGGCTTTATTTTTATCTAGTTCTGGGCAGAGACAACTCTCTGTGCACCAAGGGAAGAAGAGTTTTCCTTCTCATTGGTACATTGTTGTCTTCAAGAAAGGAAAATTAGACAGAGTCACTATGAATGAAATATGGTTTGGGGATTTGGACTTCAATCTGTTAGCAAAGCCCATTTCATTGAGCAGAAAACGCATCCATTCATTCCTCTCCATATGCTGGCAGTAGGCTACCTTTGCATAGAATTGTTCATTGTTTTGTTTTTCTGGATTTGAGTGTCTTTGTGTTTTAAGAGGCAGTGAAATTGCAACACGGTAATGTACAGAACTGGCAACAAAGTACACTGCAAGCACATTACATTCAAGGATGTTCAGGACACTGATTTGTTCCATATCAAACAATGGATTCCATATCTTTTCTTTCCATCCAACTATGTTGAGCAATTTCAACATGCTGAGATCCTCACCCTCTTTTTGTTAAGGAATGATGGTAGTTATGGCCAAGGTAGTCATAGCCAAGATATTGTTCTTTGAGATGTTTCTTAATGTTGTTAGTGTTGCATAGAAAGCAAGAAGGAAGCATTCTTAAATTGGAAGCTTTTTGAGATGTTACTTACAAAGGTAGAAATTTCAAGTGTTCTATACAGTTGTCAGTTTGGCAGTTCATTCTCACTCTGGAATTTGCTGCCATGGGAAGTGGTGATGGCTGCCAGTCTGGATGGCTTTAAAAAGGGATCGGTCAGATTCATGAGGGGGGAGGCTATCCGTGGATACTTGTCTTGCTGGCTATGTAGTACCTCCTTTACCAGAGGTGGCATGCCTGCATTCACCAGCTGCAGAAAAACTGGGCAGGAGGAGGTCTTGCATGTATCCAGCTTGAATCCTGTGGGCAAGTGGTTTGCCATGGTTATATGGAGTGCTGGACTACATGGAGCTTTGGTTTGATCCAGCACAGCTGTTCTATGTACCACTTAAGGAAGGACTCACTGGGCTTAGTATTAGAGTAGCTAGAGATAACCAAAATAATTCAGTTTTTGAATTCCTGATCTTAAACCTCTCACACTTACATTTATACTCCATAATAGTGTGGTTTCTATTCTACCCATCAGGATATGGGGCTGGAAAGGGGTCATTGTCATACTTAATAATGCTTGATGGGTTTCAAAGGGATGTCATTTTGATCCATTCACAGCTTACTAGGCTGTTCAGGCTAAGAAGTAACCTGATGAACAGGTACCGTTGTTATCTTTGTTTATTTCAAGATCAGGCACGATTTATCTCTGTTGCTTTCATGTTGTTTTCAGTTGTCCCAGGCATTTTTGTCAATGCTTCTCATTTATCACATTTAAGTTGCAGTCACTGGAAATAGTTATAGGTAGTGATCCACAAAGCACTTCAGCTGCTTTACTTATTTCTACCAGCAAAATCCCACTTAGACAGGATTAAGCATGAGCATGCTAGTTTATAAAGGTGATGAATTTCACTGAACAATCTGAGCAGCAGTTTCTTGGAGATAGCAGTGATGATTGAGACTCATTTCAGTTCTGAATGTAGGAAAGTGGAAAGTGATGAACTCCTTCTATACCAGAGACTTGGTAGCTGAGTCACTGCTTCTCAAGCTGTGTCAGCTCTTCGATTCCTTGATATTTACTGTCTGCATGGCCCTTACTCTGAACCTGTTTGTGATTGTGATAAACTGTCTTTCTGAAGAAATAAAGAAGCATACCAGATTGTACCTGGCAACATCAAAAGGATTATGATGGAAATTTATAGCTTTTGCAGTCCACTAGATTCTGTTGCTTACAGAAGCCAGCACCATGTAAATAATCCAGAACTTCAACTGCAACAAATTGACTACAGTCTAGTCCTGTCAACTGTGAGAAAATGCAAGAGGTCCCAACCATGAAGCCTTCCCCCTGGGTTCACTGATTCTGTCAAGCATTTGAGTGGTTATATCTCTTCATTCTGTAATAATGAATAACATATCTAGTCCTTGGGAAAGAGAGGAGGAGTATTTGCACAAAGACTCTAGATTGCATTAGTATTTCTCCATAGAATTTAACCTTTAAGAATTGATTTTCAGAAGCCAGAATAAGGACCTGATTTTCCAAGTTTAAGTTAGTAATAGTGCCAAAGAGGTTGTGCAAAGCACAAAACACACCCATGGTTTCTCCAGCTTTTGAAATGAATCCAGTACAAAAAATATCAAGACTGCAGCCCTTTCCTTTTGTGCATTTGTCCTTAGGTAGCAACAATTAATATTTTCTAATAATGTTTCATAATGATTTTTATGTCTCTTAGGCAGGGGAGGGGACCCAAAACAAACAAAAAAAAATGTTATGCTCTAGCTTCCAGTGATTGTGGGATGTTGTACATCCATTAATTATAAACCAGAATATTACAAATCCATTCTTCTGAAACAGTGGCAGTGACAGTTGAACTTGTCTGTAGAATTGGTGTAATACAAGTCTTTAATAAGGAGAATTTGTAGTAGCTAGATGAAATATGATATGCAGGGAAGGGAAGGGATGAAGGGAAGACCCAACAATGTTGAATCAATTGTGCAACAAATATTGGCCTGAATAACATAACTTCTTCTTGCTTCTTTACTTTCGCAAATGGAACCCAACTTCTTAAAATATTGTTAATGGTTTAGCTATGGGTTGCTTCACATGTTGAGATAGGCCCTTATTTCTTAATTGCGAATTCTAATGTGTGGAGGACCATTGTGTGTTTAAAAATATCAGAGAGCTGGTCAAAGCTCTCACATGCATCTTCCTAAGCATTTTCAGTTATATACCCTTATTTCACAAATTATTGTATACACTTTAGAGACAAGTGGTAGGTAATGGACAATGGCTATTTTACATTTTTATTTCTTTGCACTGCCCACCCACAATCTCTGTTGGTGCAATAAGCTGCCATTTCTCCCACCCAACTGTTAAGAAAAAACACTACATCACATGCTGAGTAAAAGACCAAGTTTGGGTTGAATAGTATCAGGGTAAAACTATGTATGAATGCTATTTCCCGTCATTTTGTCTCATCATTTTCCATGGTTACAGTGTAGAGTAACCATGAAACAGCTCAGTATAGAATAATATAGGTGAAGGTGTGGTCCCGTGGAAATAGGAACACTTGATTCCCAAAGGCTGGAGTCAGAAACTAAATTTCCATCCAGAACTATTCTTCAGTGCACCCTTTCATTTGACTCTCAATAGCTGAATGGCCATCATTTCCTTCTATAAGGAATATTTAAATTCTGCTCATTTGCCAGTATCGCCTTCTGCTCCTGACACTTGTTCCAATCTTGCTGTTCATCTTCACTCATAAAGGATCCCTGTGATGAGTGAATCACAGTAGTCTTCATAGGTTACCAACTGTTCCTCTGCAAGCTCCCCACATATAATGAACTGTTGAAATGTAGTATTGAAGATCTCTGCATGTTTCTGGTTTACCATTTGTGTTTGTTTCCTCTATATCTACATGGCATTTGAATCAAGTTCCTCTTGCTTCTTTTCCTCTGTCTTCTGTAGAATTCATATCAGGCACAAGTTTTTCCCATTCAACTCCTACCTGACCTTTTAAGATGGAGATTGAACCTAGGATTGAGAATGGGACCTTCTGCATGCAGACCCATGTGCTCTGCTACTGAGTTGTAACTCTTCCTTTGCATATGATTTAAAGATCGTTCTTTCTTAATCAGCCAGAATCCTAGTAGTATAACAGATGAAGGACTTGGATAGGTGAAGAGAGGTATAGGATGTGCCCTGGGCAACCAGAACACAAGGTTACCTTGAATTACTTTGTGGAAGAGAGAAAGGATTCAGCTTTTCTTACTCCTATAACATGGCAAGTTGCATTTGCTGAAATGCTTCTCCTTAAATCATTAAACATACAGAAACTATATTTGTTCACATCTGATCATTGTATGTATGATTGAAAGTAATGCAAATATTTAGCTACTTACAAAGTGCACACAATCATAGTACCATTTTATAGCTGATGGAGTCTGTGAAACTTTAAGTGCGGGTTCATAGTATCCATGCTTACAATAGTAAGCTGGAGATTATCTCAATCAGGGAGATGGGTATTGCTATCAGCTGATGATGCTGTGTGTGCAGAACAGCAGCAGGTAATTCTGCAGATCAGGATGAAGACACACAAACAAGGTGATTTGCTGAGTCAGTGATGTTCAGAAGAACAATGGCTGTTGCAAGCAAAACTAGGATCCATTGGAAAGTCTGCACTGAAAGCATTTGTGAGGAACCTTTTTCCTTCCATTCTTCACAGCATGAGCTGCCTTGCTTAAAAAGAAACAAACAGCCAAATACAATTATCATATTTCTGTGCATGTGCTTTCTAAAGGAAATGCAACTCTGTGTCCTGGGTCCTTGCTGCTATTCATACTGGAGATTTATTTTTATTTTACTTTATTTTATTTTTGCTTGCTTCTGCAGGAATTAATGAGCCATGAGAATATACAATCAGGAATGTTGCACCTGGACCTGTACTCACAGTGATTAAACAACAGTTGAGGGGTTAAAGGGAGTTCAACAACTGAACATTTGTAGATGTCTAGGGGTTGCCACCAGCCCACCTACTGAAGGCAGGTTCATTCTGCTGCAGTCCTTAACACACCCACTTGAAGCAAGTACCATTAAAATTGATTGGCTTGCCTTCAGAGTAAACACAATTAGGTTTATGCAGTGAACGCAAACCACTACATGTGCAAGCACAAGTTTGTAAGGATATTTCCACATAAAGATAATGTAACTGCATTTCAGAATATAGTGCTTGTAATGTGTTCATAAAACCTACCTAGTTTACATGGATTGGCCATTGTTTATTTTGCACACTATTCCACAGGAAAAACATTC